TTAAATCGCATTAAATTTTTGTTTTCCGCTGCGTACACGTGCCCGAAACCCAACATGCTCTACGTTTGCAATGAAGACTGCTACCTTTGGATTCATCAAGTGTGGGCGTAGTTACAAGGAGTGCGGACAAGAAGCTGCAAGCATCCTCTGAGATTAGCTCGACGCCCCAAACCTTTGAGAAAGTCTTACCACCTCTTGTCAACGCAAGTGCATACGTGGAAGGTTTGAAACAAGAGACTTCGCAGCCCACACCTCGTTCAACATCAAGCTACTCAGAGGTGGCATCTGTCATGACAACAAACGCCACAACCATGGAAGAGCAAATTGCAAGTTTGGCCAAGGCTATTGAGGGACTCACAAAGCATGTTCAACAACAAGATTCTCAAATTACCAAGTTGATCGACAAGATGGAAAAAGTTGATGCTATTCAAATTGTGAAAAATCAGACAAATGCTCAAGGCGAAGATGGGACATCTACAAAGCAACATTCAGTTGAAAACGAGAAGGCTCCAACTCAAGAACTTCAAGTTTCTTCCGAAGGGCTGATTCATGTAGATCAAGTGATGACGTTGATCAGTGAAACCATCAAAAACAAGTTTGAAGGAAGCTCTAAGTCTCCATCAACCTAATTCAAGCCCTACACGCCAAGGATTGATGATCTAAAGATGCCAATGGGCTACATACCTCCAAAGTTTCAACAATTTGACGGCAAAGGCAACCCCAAGCAGCATGTGGCACACTTCGTGGAGACTTGCAATGATGCCAGAACGTACGAAGATCACCTTGTCAAGCAGTTCGTCCGATTGCTCAAAGACAATGCGTTTGATTGGTACATTGATTTGGGGGCAAACTCCATTGATAGTTGGAAGCACTTAGAGGAAGAATTTATCAACGGCTTTTACAACACTCGAAGAAGAGTTAGCATGATTGAGCTCACCAATTCCCGCCAATGGAAGAAGGAACCTGTCATTGACTACATCAACCGTTGGAGAAATTTGAGTCTTAATTGCAAGGATCGACTGCCGGAGACATCAGCTATTGAACTGTGCATCCAAGGAATGCAATGGGGACTCCGATATATCCTTCAAGGAATTCAACCTAAAAAGTTTTGAAGAGTTGGCCACTCGAGCACATGATATGGAGTTGAGCATAACTGCAAATGGAGTCGAAGAACCTTTATTCCAAAAGTCATCCCAGCTCAAGGAAAAACATGTTGAAGAAGAACAAGAAGATCATGAGGATGGGGCCAAGTCTTTTGAAGAAACAACATCCTATGCAATATGATAAGTCAAATCAAAGCAAGCACTCATTGACACGAGTTTAAAAGGTATACAAGTCCAAATCAAGTGAAACACTCCTTGACACGAGTTTAAAAGATCTACATGTCCAAATCAAATAAGCACTCCCTGACACGAGTTTATAAGGTCTACAGTGAAACACTCCTTGACACGAGTTTAAAAGGTCTACATGTCCAAATGAAGTACTCCTTGACACGAGTTTAAAAGGTCTACATGTATGAATCAAATGAAATACTCCTTGACACGAGTTTAAAAGGTCTACATGTCCAAATCAAATGAAGTGCTCCTTAATACGAGCATAAACTATCTACATATCCAAGTCAAATCAAGGCTCCTTGATACGAGCATAAACTAGCTATACATATCAAGTCAAGGCTCCTTGATACGAGCATAAACTGTCTACATATCCAAGTCAAGTCAAGGCTCCTTGATACGAGCATAAACTATCTACATATCCAAGTCAAATCAAGGCTCCTTGATACGAGCATAAAGTATCTACATATCCAAATCAAGTCAAGGCTTCTCAATACGAGCATAAACTATCTATATATCCAAATCAAGTCAAGGCTCCTTGATACGAGCATAAACTATCTATATATCCAAATCAAGTCCAGGCTCCTCGATACTAGCATAAACTATCTGTATATCAAAATCAAGTCAAGTCTCCTTGATACGAGCATAACAATCTACAAATTCAAGTCAAATGCTCATTCAGCACGAGCTTAAACTGCAAATGTTTCTCCTTGTCGTCCACAAGAGTATAAACTGTGCACAACATGCCTCAAAAGGATATATTTTGAATTACGTTATGACTTGATCCCCTTATAGGGTACGTAGGCAACTTAGAATCTCTCTAAGTTCAGTCATGATTTCAAAAGATATATTTGCTTTACTAGATCAAGCTGCAATTGAAGTTGAGCAATTATCGAGACTCATTCACTCCAAGATGCATTGTTCGTGAACAAGTCTCGAGGGGGCATTTGTAGACGCATAAAATTAATTAATTGGTTAATTAATTAGCCAATTAAATTGTGTCTAAATTAAATTATAATTTATCTTGCAAAATAAGTTATGGAGATAATTATCAATTAATTATTGGCCAATAGGATTATTTCTTCTCTTCTAAGTTATAAGAGATAAATATCAATTTAAAGGGAGCCAGTCAAATCGCGCCACGCCATTAAGAAGACTTTATGTAGGACTCTTATTCTACCACTATAAATAGGGACCCTCTCTACACAATTCAAAACACAACTCAAGAAGAAGAAAAAACCGTAGGAGAAAATTATCTCTACAATATTCAAGTCGTTCTTCATCAAATCGAGGGCCTCTTCAACAAATCGAGATCGAAGGGAGATTGAAAGGCCAAATCTATCAAGAACTCCAAGATCTTCAAGTCAAAACCCGTCAAACTTTTGCTTTCGATCCAAGATTCAAGTCGCAAGACCCTCGGAAGACGTTATTCAAATCTAAATCAAATCCGGAGAAGATCAAGTCAACGACCCGACTCTGAAATTCAAAGTCAAACGCATATTGTTCTTGAGAGAAGAATCAGAGGATTAAATTAGAGTTTGTAACCAGCAATATTTATTTTTAATTCAATAAAACTATCTTTGTGCAAGTTTTTCTTGTTTGTCTAAATCGTAGATAAGAATCTGTTGCTACAGCGTCAAAAAACAGAGATTAAGACCCGATGGGCAGGAGCATGCGGGACTATTCAGGGAAATGCCATTAGTATGTAAACCAATATTCTCACAAACGAATGGAATTCGATATGTATCGATAGGCCAAACAAACTCGTGCTTTTGTGCAACCCCTGAGAAGCTACTGATGATGAGTCCCCATTTATCAAGAAGTCAAAATTGTAATTATAAAGTGGTTTTTATTAATTATAGGGTGGATTTTCGTAATGGAATTAGTTAATTATACAGTGGTTTTCGTTAATTACAGAGTGGTTTTCATTAATTATTAAGTGGTTTTTGTTAATTGATAAGTTTTTTGTGAATTTTTGTAATGGAATTTGTTAATTACATAGTAATTTTCGGTGGTTTTCATTAATTACAGAGTAGATTACGTTAATATTAATGTGGATTATACTTATTTTATAGTAATTTTTACTTTAATTTCATAGTGTTTTTCGATAAATTTAGTCGTTTTCGATGTGTATGTAGTGGATTTCAATTTTTGCAAATATAAACCATTTAAAAAAGTGAAATAAAAGGGGTTTTTGTGATAAAATCCCCAACCATACACCTTTATTATTCTTGGTTCATGGCTCTTTTCTTCTTTACACATAAGCCCTTCACTTACATCTTACTAATTAAAAAAAGGCAAATTACTGTTTTATGACCGTTTTGCCCTCATATATGAGCTGCTCATTAATTGAACCCTAAGCTCGATATTAAATATTCTCTACACGTCCGAACATAAGGTTTCTCTCTGTATATTTTCATTCGCTTCTCTCTTGCAAGGAGTTTCGTTGAATCTCGTGTTATACCATCATCTCCACTGTTGATAAGTACGGTGCGTGAATGAATTCGAACATAGTCAAGCTATTTTTCAAAAACAAATTTAATACGCAAAACGATCGGAATGTGAATTATGGGAAATTGGAAATATTGACGTTTCGTTTTTGTATGTTTTGAATTATGTTGAGTTTTTGGAATTTTTGTGTGTGTTTTTGTTCGAAGGATAATTTCAAAGTTTTTGGGATGTATTACGTTTGTTTTGTAATAACACGTTCATTAAATGAAGTGTTTGGTGTTGTCACAGTAAGTTTTTATAATTTTACTGTAACTGGCAGTACAATTTTGAGTATACAATTAGTTTATACCTTGACAGTCGTTTTTCCCTTTGTTATTATGTTACTGCTAGTAACAATACAGTTAGTGTATAGTTGCAATTGATGGATACATAGCTTTGTTGCTTAGATTTGACTTTCTTTTCACTTTATACCTATGTTGTTGTCAATGATAATATAATTAATGTATAGTTGAATTTGCAGATATGACGACTCCTTCTGTTGTATTGTTATTAAAATATGGTGAATGTTATACAGTTACAGAGCTTAGAATAGGGATGGTATATGCTAATATTGTGGATTTTGTATGTTCACGATTGGAATACTTGCATCGTGATAAGTTGGCATTCATGTATCATGTCCCCACGATTGGTGATTTTTTACTAAAAGATGACAAAGATGTATTAGGGCTTCTTTTACTAGTTGATCAATTTTCTATTCGAAGGATTCAAGTTACTGTGAAGGTAGTTCAGTCATCGTGCAATTTGGTTGAAACAAGGTCGATGGCATGTTCTCCCAATACATTACATGTCTTTGATGTTCAAGCAAACACTGGAATTGCTAATTCACTATGTAATCCACTTAGTGTTTCCTGTACAAAGAAGATTTTGTTCAGTTCACATTGGGCAAACTTGATTACTGATGTTGGTCAAGTATTTCGTGGGGGGCGGCTAGAATTTAGAAAAAGTTTGTCGAATTTTGCATTTGAGATTGGATTTGAATTCAAGTATAATAAAAATGACAAGAGGGGAGTGACAGCTGTTTGCAAGTTCAGAGAGTCGAAAAATTGTTTATGGAGAATTCATGCCTCAGTTGAATTTTCGACTGATTTTTTTATTATACGTACTTATGAGAAATTCCACATCTGTGGATCAACATTTAGTGCGGCGAAGAAGTTAAGAATGGGTTCTAAGATTATAGCTGAAGCTATTGTGGAGAATATGCAGGCAAAACCATTGATGTGTGCTAATGATGTTATTATTAAAGCGAAGAAGGATTACGGGATTACTATTAACTATCATGTAGCATGGAGAACTATTGAAGCTAGCACGAGTTGTATATTTGGAGATGAAGCATTGTCTTTTTCATTCCTCACGTTGTACTTTCGCGAAGCTGGACATTGTAATCCCGATAGTGTTTTCGACGTGGAAGTTGATGATGCAGATAACTCGTTCAAGCGGTGCTTCTTCAGCTTTGGGGCATCTTTATCTGGGTTTAATTTATGTCATCAAATGCTCATCTTGGATGGCACATTTTTAAAAGGAAAATACAAGGGTGTTCTTCTAAGTGCCATTGCGAAAGATGCAAGAAATAGTGAGTTTTACATTTTCAGTTTTAGTTTCAGTGATAGTTTATTTTACTGTCAGTGACGGTAACATACTAGTTCTTGTGTTTTATTTTTTCGGGTCTCAATCCAGTTGCATTTGCTATTATACGGGATGAAAATATTTCTATTGGGATTATTTCATGAATCATTTAAGAATTGCACTTAATACAGATAGTGTTTTGACATTTGTATCAGATCGGCAACGAGGCATTTTGGAAGCTGTTAAAGACATTTTTCCCCATTGTCATCATTATTTTTGCATTCTGCATCTAGAGAATAATTTGAAGAATAGGTTGAGTGGGATGCCGCCTAATTACAGGGATATGTTAGAAAGACAATTTACAGCTTGTGCATGTGCTCCGACTAAGCAAATTTTCCATCAGAACCTTGAAAAATTGAAATCAAGTGGTTTGAAAAAAGTTATTGATTTCTTGTCGGAGTTGCCTTTTGATAATTGGACTTATGCTTACTCTGAGACCCGTAGGTATGGTGAGTTATATTTGAATGCAGTAGAGTCATGGAATTCTGCAATGAAGAAATTCCGACATCTGCCGATTACAGAGTTGGTTGACTCCATTCGGGGATGGGTAACGGATAAAGTATGTGAAAGGATTACAGAATCGAAGGTTTTCAAAACGATGTTGTGTCCAGAGATGGAAAAGGTGCTTAACAATATTGTGGATGCTGGAAGGACATGTAATGTGAGAAGGTCAACTGGAATAGTTATTCAAGTGCATTCTGATATGCATGTTATTGTGGATTTGTTTAATAGAACTTGTACCTGTCGGATGTGGCAAATTACTGGTTTCCCTTGCTGTCATGTAGCTGTTGTGCTCTTTAATACTCCCGAAACTGAACGATATACATATATTGACCCCTTGTTTTATGCGTCGTATTTCCGTAGCACTTATTCGTTTCTAATTCATCCACTTTTGGTGGATTTTGAACAGGTTGAGCAGCCTATTGTTCGACCTCCTTCTTGCCAGACGCGAAAGGGGCAGACCGAAAAGGAAGAGAATACCATCTTGTGGTGAGAATATTAAGAAAAAAACTCAAGTGTGGAAGATGTTCTGAGTTTGGTCACCATAATAGGAAGTCTTGCAACAAAAATATTTGAATGTAATAGACTCTGATTTTCTAGGTGGCTCTGTTTTTCTCTGTTTTTCTAGGTGTTTTTTACTGCACATGACAGTAAATTTTAACTATTTAATGTTTTTTTTATGTTTTGGTACTATTTTACCGTCACTGACAGTAACATTATTAATTTGATGCAATTTTACATTGTCATTTGAATTGGATTGATGTCAAATGCTCTTAATTGTATGAATTAACATTTACAAAATTAATTTTAGTAGTGATAACCACAGACTCATGCATTGGATAACTCACATTATTCACATGCACTATATTACTGCACATGACAGTAATTTTTACCTATTCAATGTTTTTTTTGTTGGTACTATTTTACTGTCACTGGCAGGAACATTATTAGTTTAGTGCAATTTTACATTGTCATTCGAATTGGATTGATGTTAAACTGTATTTCTTGTATGAGTATAACTTTAAGAAAAGCAATATTGGTATAAGATAACACGAAAAATATAAATTGCACATAGAACGACCATTCACACACCACCTACATAATATACTGCCATTGATAGTAAAATAGGATTTTTAACATAGTATTTTTTTTAAAAACAACAACTAAATACGATTACAGGTAAATAGTATATCAGGCCGATCCTTGCCGTTGAATTCTGTCCTCACAAGTTAGTTTGTGATTTAGAAAATCGTGGACTATTTCTTTCCTCATTGTATAAATGCTCGCTTCTGCATCCAGTTTTACCACAGGCTGTTGACTGTAGTATTGTCTGATGACATACAACACAAATAATCCACTACCCCGCTTTTTCAATTCTGTTGAGGTGAATCTTCAACTTCTTCCAGTATGGCACCCACTAGAATACTGTTGATTTTTTTTTCGCTAACAAGGATCTCCACACCACGAATCTGCAAAAGCAAAAAAAAAGTGTTGTTTCATCAATGGCATAACCGTGAATGTTTTGGAAAAATAACATTTTTCAGTTACAATGTCCTGTGCATCTGTCACATATGGATCTCTGCGAATGGTTTCTCCATTCCCAGTGGCTACCCTGAATGAGTTGTAATATTTCCAGAAGTTTTTTTTTTTAGGAAAACCAATGTCCAATGATCTATCACATTTTCGCTACCGCCGTCTGAATTCACTGGAAATATTAGATAACGATAGGTCGAGATATATATGTGCTTGATGCATTGCTCCAGCATGTTGTAGAAAAAGGGCAGACCATTCGGTTGTCGATAATGTCCCTGTATATTTTTACAACATCGCATATACAAATATCAGCATATATAATATCTTTTGAATTGATGTAAAAAAATTGACTCACCAGAAGTGAACTCGGAAAACAATAACTTTCACCATCCAAATCCGGATCGATGTTGTCATTAAACAGTCCTTCCTCTTGCCGCATATGCATAATGAACATGTATAAATCAAGAACCTTCATGTACGCAAACATAAAAGCAGTCGTCGTAATTAAAGCAGTCGTCGTAAATTACTGTCTTTGAGAATAACATTATTAATTTTACTGTCTGTGACAGTACATTAATGCAAAGTTTTTGTTTAAATGTATTAATTCTATAAATGTGCTACCAGTGATAGTAAAGTTATGGGTTTTTTGAATTCTCACATTTGTGTTTATGGACTTCCTCCTTAGCAACTGTATTATGTCATCCATCTGGACAAACTCAGCCACAGAACCTTCTGGATTCCTCCAAATTTGTAGAGTACCCTTATATAACAATTGAGTATATCATATTAAAGATGTAGAAGATTATTTAGCATTAAAAAAAAACTGTAATACATACCCATGTTCAGTCTCTGCGATTTGTATAGTTATATAACGTACGATGTATTGATCTTCTTCAGAGAGCAAATTGTAAATTACCATTTTCTTGTAAGTATAATCTTTGCGTTTATTTTTCTTAGCTGGTTCATTATCATCGACTGCACGTTATTTCTGTTTCCCTCGTGTCCTGTCAGCAACAACTGATTTACGAATCAGTTTCTTTTTTATCTTACATTCGATCTCGCCTAGAGCGTCCTTCGCTTTAGGTGCATTTAGCTTTGATATTGTCCTTTTGGCCACATCTGATGAGTTATGAGTCGCTTTTGCTATGTGTTTGCGAGTTGCATTCGGATTATCGACGAAGTCGTGTATCATTATCATTGCCCTCTTTTTGTTGCTCTGCAGTCATCTTTTGGTTTGAATCAATTGCAACATTCAAAGTAAGCTGTATATCTTCAACCTTCTGCTTCAAGATATCATTTTCTTTCCGCAGTTCAGCAATTAGGCAATATTGCTCCTGGATGGTGGTAAATGATGCATCAAAGCTTCCCTGAGATTTCATGACATCCGTATTCAATTCTCCAGGTTTTTCAAAATCATCCATGTCCTTCTGTAATGCCTCATTCACAGCCCGAAGATTCTCAGTCTCAATTGACATATTCCTCTAAGTTGCATCACCAAGTTTTTTTTCAGTTCTTCTACTTCTTTCGTCAATCTTGTACTAAGAGAAGATTCTAGCTGAGAGTTAGTTGGTATATCGGAAAGCCTCGCTAAATAGCTGTTAAGAATGTTGATCGTGTGCTCTTGATTGCTTATCTTTCTCTTCAACGATTCTTCTTCAGTTTTTGACAACCTATCTGAAAGATCAACTGTGAGAGTGCTTACTTTGCAAATGAGAGTCGCATTTTCATCTTTCATTTTTGCCAATTTGCAGATATGTGACCTCTTTCTATAAGCTTGTTTTCTCGGATTCAAGTTGTGCAACTGTGATGTTAATGTTTGAAGTTTGTTCTTGTACACTCGGAGGCGATCCATGTTAAGCATAACTCAGAGAAATGTGTGTGTTGTCATTGTCAGAATCTGCATTTTTTCTGCCATGTGACTTTTTTTCGTTGTTTGACTGTGAGTTGGGCATTTTAGCAAAATCTACAGCTGCTGCCAATGCATCCAATCCTCCGGTGCTTGCCTCTTCATTATCACCACATTGAATGTCTTCTCCTTGACCAGCGGAATTGTTTTCTGTTTGATCGACTAACTTATTTTTGCCCTTGACTTTTCTCTTTGAATCAGATTCGTCGCTCTTATGGGGCAGAACTCCTTTAGTTCTTCTCTTCCTTTTGTTTGCCTTTTGTTTCCCAACTGGTTGTTCTTGTTGCTCGTCACCAACTTTGTTATCCTCAATGTCATCAACGTCATCTTCTTCATCTTCCAATTCTCCCAGAGAAGTAGCTTCGAAATCTGTTGGTGCCAACGTTTTAACAAAAACCTGTAATGATACAGTAACATTGTTTCATATTACTGTCACTGACAGAGAAATAGTACTTTTTATTAAATCAATGTCAACTACACTGTCAGCGACAGTGAAATAAAGTTTCTACTATCTTATATGGTATGTTAATACATAAATAGATTGTTGTATGGTTTTCATTTTACCTGGTCTAGTTCTAAATGCTTTATCGAAATTTTGTTGGCTTGGCGACATACATATTTCAAGTTCCATTTTTGGTATCTTGGAAACCGTTCATTCTTTTATGGATCAATTGCTGATGATCGCTCAAGGAACCAGTACTATAAACAAGAAAAAAATTATCAGTATAACAAAAAAAAAGGGGGTTTTAAACTTTGGATTTGTTAGTTTACATACCAGTATCAGGCTAGTGCATCCATGTACATATTTTATACTAGGTTATGTGGGTAATTTCACTGCTTTTGTCGTTACTTTGCAAACTGACTTCATGAAGAAATTGACAATTTCCTCCGCCCAATTTTAGTTATTGATCTTGTCCAGATCTTCCACATACTGAAAAAATGACCAATTAACCAATTGCCTATTAGTAACGAAGAAGAAGTTTGTCATGAGATTAAGGATTACTACCCCTTGTTATATCGTCAACTGCTTCATCACTATCTTCGTCTTGAATTTGAGGCAACACTCGCTTTAGATCTCCAATATTGACAGTTTCAAGACCGTTGAATCTGCTGGTAACAAATGGTGTTTCTGGCCTTGCACTTCTTGTACCTTCAACTATTGTCATTTTGGATACTCCATTCTTCAAGCCAAATATATGAGTTTACATTCTCTAGTCTTTATTGTCAATATCTTTTTGTCAATAACAAAACCTTTCTTTTCATGGTTGTATGTCTTCAAAATTATTTGTATGAGGAAGTCGGACTTTCGAATAGATAAGAGTTGGATTCTATTTGTAATGATAGGTGTGTAGAACTGTCCAAATGGTGTTCTCCTCAAAGACGTTACTTGTTCATTACTTAGATTCAGGTCTTTGCAAAAGTTGATCAATCGGATTATACTTGATCTGTATTGTGGGCCATCCCTTTTATTTTGGATGATCTTAGTCCTTGGCTCTTTTGATTGTTCATATGATGAGGGGGCTGAAAATGAAATGGTGTCAATTGAAATTGTAATGTAACAAGAGTAGATTCGTAGTGCCTAGTTTTACTGTCAATGGCAGGCATTTAGTGGACTGTACGAGAGCAAAACTAATGAATACAATTTTAACATCAGTAGCAGCAATACAACACAACCACACAGTGGATTAACTACTTCTGCCATTTGTAAGATTTAAATGGATTAAGCTCAAGTCCTTTCAATTTATTTTAATTTTTTATTATATTATATTTTTTAATAATTCAAATAAAATTATTTAATAATAATGAATATATAATTAATAATCTATATAACATTACTTATTATAATCATTTTACACCTTTTGTTTATGTTATATATATTCCTTGTTATAATAATCCTAACTATAAATATATAAATATAAATAACACTGTAAAATGATTATAATAATTGTATAACTAATGTTTTATAAATTATTAATTGTTACATTGACTATTATTAATATCAAAAATCTCGACTAATAACAAATTCATACATATTTAATTTTGAAAAATATAAAAAAGTAGGATTTAATTTAAAAGAAATATTGAATTTTGATTTTTTTTGAATTTTGAAAAAATTTTCAATTATTATTTTCACTTATAAATACCCATAATCAAATCTTCATAACTTTCATTTTATTTAGTTTATGTCTCAAGATCTTAATGGTTTCATTTTTTTCTAAAATTGTTTAGTGTAAATTGAATTACTTTTTTAATTTTGAATTTATAATTAATCTCAAAAAATTTCAAGTTTCAATATAAGTTTCTTTTTTCTTTCTTGTAAAAAAATAAAAATAAAAATAAAAAACCAGTTTGTACCCGACCCGCACCCAGCCAGACCCTAGTGGATCCGCCCCGAACCCAGACCCACCTCCCCACGGGTCAATTTCGGGTCCCCTAAAAGTCGGACCGGACCCAGACGAGACCCGCCCCGTGACCATGTCTAGGTGGTTGTGGTTGTAAGAAGGAAGAAGAAGAGATAGAGGGAGAAAAGAGAAGAGGGAGAGGGGGGGGTGGTGGGCTGGGGAGTGGAATACTGTCAGAATATTTCCGTTTTCTTTGTATTACTCATTTTCTTTTATTTTTTTCTTTTTTGGTTCGATTCAATTTTTTGACTTTTTCTCAGTCTCATTCTTTCACCTTTTTAATTATTTTTTCTTTGAATTTAAATTATGGAATGTGTTACTTATGTACATTTGTACTTTTGATCTTCAAATTTTAAATTTATTGCTAGATGATTAGTTGAATAATATTTAGGTTGATTTATAATATTTAGTAGGCTTTTTTAAAATTTATTTTTATGATATTGTTATATTAAATTAAATATAAATAATATAAAAATTAAAATATTCAAAACCCCGATTGAACCTTGGTTGAACCGATCCAACCCTGATTCAATTGGCTAACCAGATCAATGTCTGGTACGGTTTTGAAAACATTTGTTACAAATATGCATTTTTATTAATTCATTTTTTTTTCATTTGGCCACATCTTATTAATTTTTTATACTATTTCCATTTATTCACACATTTCTTCTTATTTATTCTCTGAAAAATATTTTTATTGCCTCTTATTCAACCCTTTTCTCCTACAATCAATATATTAAATTAGAAATTATTATTATAATTATTTTCTGCCACCAAATACGCCTTAGTCAACCTGATTCATGAATTTTATATTTTAATTTATAAATTCAAAAAATATTATATTATTTGTGATTCCGAATATAATTCCAAATATATACATTATATTGATTAATTCACAATATAAAATTATTTTTGTTAATTAATTTGAAACACACAATTGAATTTTTTCTAATTGATGAAATTAAATCCGATATTTTCTATAAAAAAAACCCCACTTCCCATAAACACCCATTATCTTGATTTTTGTTTTCCTTTTCCGACCAAACATTGTTTCCTATTATTAAATTTTGAATTTATCTTTCATGTGTCAAAACCAAGTCTTTGTATTGGTTGAGTAGGCTCCCTTTCTTTTGAATTGCACATATGACAAAATATGCAATATCATTGGTTCATGTTTTCCATGTGCAATATATTATTAATTCTCTTATCAAAAAAATATATTATTTTAAGGGGGGGACTATTTTTTTTGGGTTTGTTTTAGGTATTTTGATATTTTATTTTTTGAATATTATTTTTTTGCCCCCCCTAAAATTATGTAAATATGTGTCTTAACCTTTTAATTTTTTTGTTTCTTCTGCATAATCATATATAAATTACACACACACACACACACACACACACATATATATATATATATATATATATATATATATATTATCATATTTAATATAAAAATATAAAATAAAATGGTTAAAATTTGTATTATTTTAAATAATATTTATGAATATTTACTTATTTTTGAATTTTTTTATCAATGACTCTAAAATATAATATGAGACGATACCATAGATCCCCAAAATATTAAGGGCAATACATTATTAGAATAATTTGAATTAATTTAGATTGTTTTGTCATATATTATATACTTAATATATGATAAAACTATAATATATATGCTATTTTAATTAAAAATTATCGACATAAACTTATTTTGGCCCCGTCTTGTGAACCTAATTTTTTTTTTACGTTTTAATTGGTATCCTCTACATTTTGATCCTGGTTCCGCCCCTGGCGACGACGGCGAGGTCACCTAATCCGGCGACGGAGACGAGGGGTGGAGATAGAGAGGAATTTTGAGTTCTTGGTGTCGTCTTTTACAACTAGATCCAGAATTACAGCGATAGCGAGGACGACAAGTCACATCACTGTGGAGCGGCTTCTGGCGGCGCCGGTTGGAAATGGCGACTATGACAATATAGAAGCGGCATCGGGCGGAGGTCGAAGGGGCGGAGAGGGTAGTGGCTTGTCGGAAAGGAAGAGAAAGAAGAAAAAAAAGAGAGAAAAAAAAGAACATGAGAGAGAGAGATTAAAAGAGACAAACATACACAAGACACAAATAGTTTCGAAATTCTATTAATTATGCTTATAGCACGAGCACTTCAATTTTAATTTGAAAAATTATATATGTTTATATACATGTAATTTTGGTATTATTCATGGGTGCAAATTAAATAGAATTATTACTCAAACTATATATGTATAATTTATCTTATAGTTTTTCAAGATCAGTCTCCGAGACAAAGAGGCCATGGAACCCGAAAGGAATCCGACAAGGCAGCTTAACAGCAACAATTACGTCAAGAGCATCGGACTTGGCATCCATCACCAAGAACTTCGATTCTCCACTATTCTCATCATGTAAATACGTAATTAAATAACCATCGTCTTCCTCAGCCGTCGGATTATTCGGCTCCCTCGGCACAAAAGACGGTTCGCTCCCACAACAGCCCGGCCCGTATAGGTGGCTAGCCACTATGCAATCTCGGCCATCTTCGTTGGCTAGCGATAGGTCGATTTTAACCATCCCGATTAAAGCCTTCGAACCTATTATTGCAGCATACACATACCTATATGCATGAAGAAACTATATTATTACTCTCGTGTGATTAATATGTGGAATATATATCTTGATAATTCCAAAAATAATCTTGTTAGGAGTATATATTGTTAGAATCCGAGAGGATTCTATTTCGGTTTTTCAACACGTGTGCGAAAAACGTGTATAAAAATTAGGGAAGTTTCCTTAGTTCTTTAAACTCTTATTTTGTCATTAATTTATTTAATTGCCTAAGTGTTTTATTAACAAGGAATTTAATTGACTAAGACTTTCCTTGTTTTACACAACTCTCTTTTTCTTACGTGAGATAAAATAACCTAATGGGCTCCACTTTTGTGTAGGGCTCTACTAATCCACCTAAGGAAGTATAAGAAGGGCAGCATCAACGTTATTTTAGGTTGTCCCTTTTATTTGAGAGAAAATTTATTTTCTGCTCTTCACGTTGCTGCTCTTGTGTAAAACAGAGTAACAGATTTGCTTCTTTCACGCGAAAAGAAGATCGGTTCTTCGGGAGAAGAACTCAGAAGATCTCGGGAGGAGGTCGACCCGCCGACTGAGGGACTCAGCGTTGAAGGAATTTCAACCGTGCGGATCAAGGGACGTGCTGCAAAGTGAAGATTGTTAATTCAGCGTAGTATACAAGAACGGCGTCGACAAAGAGGGAGTCTTTGCATTTCGATTAAGTCCTATTATTGTATTCGTAAAACTAAAAATTAGTAAATTTCATTTGCAAGTCCCCGTGGATGTAGGGTACAATTGTATCCGAACCACTTTAAAATTTGTGTCTTTTTATTACTGTTCCATTAACTGTTGCAACTCTTCGTAAAACAGTAGAACCGTATTTAAAACTGAATCTGGAATTCATCGGACACAAATATATAATTAATTTGCACGAAATAATTCTAACATATATAATTATATATATATACACATCAAAATTATTATTGAATTAACATTAATAGACTATTAATGTTCGTTCAATAATAATATATAAAGTATTCAATTTAATACCTCGACAATTACATTTCAATTTAAAAAGTATTCATTGTAAGTATGTATTCGCTTATATTAATAATACCTTGATGAATCGGCATATGTCCTTAATAACAATTTATATATATTTGTCGTTCGTTTCAGCATGTGAATTATGATGTAGGAAATAATATTTCCAATAATTGGCAACATGTGTCACGGTCACGGCAATAAATTCTAACCTTCTTCATTATTCAAGAGGGCAAGTGGTCAAAAAACTCACTTCTTTTTTATTTTTGATTACAGGAAAAAAAATGTCACAATATATCTTAGACAATTTGGTATAAAATAATCCTTTATAGGTCTCATTCAATATATATATGAAAATTAAAATTGTAATATTAATAACAAAGAAAGTGGAATTTTAGCAGAGAAAACAAATAAAAATAAAATTAATTACAAAATTCATAGAGAAAAGACACTAACTACAAAGATGCCTTTAACAAAAAAAAAATAATTTGTTCCATTGAAATAAGAAAAAAAAACATAATTGGAAAATTAGTAGATAAAAAATATGATTATTATAAAGATGCAATCAGAATTGTTGAAATAAAAAAATCAAACTTATTAGAAAATATTAATAGAGAAAACAATATAATTTTTTTTGACAAAGATGCCATTGGGAGGCATTGAATTACTTTAGGGTTGCCAAGCTTTTATTCATTTTATATATAAAAAGATAATCTTTCGAATATTTCTCGTTTGAAAATGGAGGTATTTTTAGAATACGTACAGCAGAACCTCGATAAAATAATAGATTCTTTCGATCCCAACTCGGTGAAAACATGTTAAATTATTAACTCGATAATTTAATAATTCGCGAAATTAATAGAATTTCCCTAGTGCCGACTGTATTAATTGTTAATAGAGGTTTAATTGTATAAGGTTTATTAATAAAAATGAATTGGATGTTAATGTTTTCTGCGCAAAAGGCACATGCAGTTAATAAAATACCCCCAGTGCTCTGAAATAAGATGTAGTATATATATACATATAGAATCGAAAAAGGTAGAAAAAAAAAAGTATTAAATTTGTAATAATTGAAAAAGAATACTAAAATAAATTAAATGATATTAATTAATACCTGTTTTTCTTGGCAGCATAAGCTGGATTGACTGCTCCAAGCTCAAGAAATGTTGTTGACAGTAAATTCCTCTCCACCGTCTTTGCCTTCACATTAATGGTGATTTTCTCCATTCTCAATTCCGATGAATGAAAGCTCTCAAATATCTTCTCAACTTTTGAAGCATTTGTAGCCACCACCACAATGGTGGCGCCGCCGTCTTCTTCCCAAGCATTAACACAGTGCAACACATTCAATCCCGGAGAATCAATCCACCACATGTCACCATCATCCATCGCATATCTCGGGATGAATCCTATCCGTTGAATCTTACTCGAATCAATTCCGACCGGCGATCTTCCTCCCAAAATCCACAATGGATTCACCACAATCTGCGAGTCCGGGAATATAGCATAGTTTTTCGTTACGCCGAAGTCATGAATCATTGTGCACTTCTTTATTGAATAGATAGGCACATCCTTTTGTTTTCTCCCGTCGGAATCGATTCGGAAGAACGATAAGTACGGAGGAGAAACGTTGTACCGGTACGCAAACGCTTCTCCGGTTTCTTCATCGATCTTCGGATGCGCCGTCATATTCAAGAACGGTTTGTTGCTCTCGTGAAAATAATGGCGGCCGACGGTTGCGATATCGCCTTCTTCCGTAATTTTTACTTTATAAGGAAGATCGGATTCGCAGAGAGCGAAGATTCCGATGCCGCGGAAGAGAGCCACACTAGTGTTGGCTGTGCCGAACCCTTGGTTCAACGGATCGAACTTTCCGGCGACTATTCTGGCCAAAATCAGCATCAAACGAGCCATCGAAGCTGCAACTCCGCCGTTGCAGGAGGCGAAAGGACTAGGGACAAAAGGGTACCCGGCTTCACCCTCCACTGCGTGTTTGTGCGTGTACACGTGGCGGCTGCAGAAGGTGGTGGGTTTGCCATGTGAGATTCTGAGCACATGCAGCATTCCGTCGCCGTCGTATAAATGATAAGGGCCGTTCGGGATGAGACGGGGGTTGGGGCCGTTGCGGATGTATGCTCCGTCGAGGCAGCGGGGAAGGGGGCTTCCGCCCCCCACCACCTCGCAGGCGGTGGGGGGAAGCTCTTCGACTGGAGCGTAGTGTCCTGATAGTACGTGCTCCGGATCGAGAGAGGGGCGAAGGGGTGACGGGTCGAGAAAGGTCGATATGAAGCGATCAAATGCGTTGAAGATGATTGCGAGCAAGGATTGTTTCTTGATGTAATTATTCTTCTTGATTTGGTCATGCTGTGTGGTGATAATTACTTGGCGTGTTAGAGGAGTTGTGTGTTTTGGCAGACTATTTATGTTGGCTGTGATCTTCTTCTTCACATGGATCCTAATTGATGATGACGAAAAATTAATCGACCAAGGTGGAAGATGTGTGAAAGAGGAATAAATTAGAGCTTCCATTAGTGTAATTTGAAGTACTGTTTATTAGTAATAATTAAGGATGTCTGAAATATAATGAAATAAGGAATATTTATTTGTCGAGGGAGTGGTTGGTAGCTGGTGTGGATAGGATTCATTATTCATGCGTTGGTAAGGGAATACAGTAATTGATGAAACTAGAGTTAGAGCACCTTAAATAGTTGAAGTATGATGAGATGGAAGAGTAAAGTCCATTTGAGCGGCAAAGGGTGTTTGGCTCACAAGCTTAATGGTCTTGGATACTTGCGATTAGAGAATACGTAAACTAAGTCGGGGTTGATCCGGCGGAAACTTCTCCGACCCTCAAGTCAGGTGTGTGGATAGCAAAAGTCGTAGATAGAATACCAGCTGTTGTATAGTTTAAATAATAGAACGTACCGTAACAAATGAAGTGTAATCTTTATTTATACCTAGTTGGTTGGGCTGAAGTTATTTGATTGTAATTGTCGTGCCCAAACCTTAGTTGAAGGTTATTGAACATCGGTTGTAGTGGTTTTCAATATTGGGCTCGTGCCCCAATAGATAAAGAAATTGTAGACACGTTGAGTTGGTCCAATTAAACACATCAGCAAAGAATATGATATTTGGCTATGGTGTAGAGTATGGACCTCAAAAATCAGTTTAATGTGTAAATTCATTTCCATTTTTGAAAATATTGAAATAGCATACTTTTGAATCTCACAATTTCTTGCAATTGTTTCGATCGAAAGGAATACCCATTTCGGTGAAAGAGGAAATTAGTGAAAACTCCTGTTTGAAACTGCACTGAAATAGAACAAGTCTTTGGAAATAATTAGTAATAACTTTCTAATAATTTTTTGGTAAAATTCTGAATTAAACTGGACGTAAATTGACCACATTGTTTGTGTAGCTGATATATTAATCGATTATCAAACTATTATAATTGACTAAAATATTAAACCGTATATTGGACATTACAAACATGGATGGACTATAAACGAAACATAATCAATTTATTATTAGACTATCTGATCATGTAGTTGATTATGTATATTGTCATATAATATAACTAAAATCGATGAAATTGAAATCATAGTAGTTCTCCAGAAGACGACTTCAATGGAGGCGTGTGGGACAGACTAGTCATACTTGAACCATTTTGTGTTAGAACTAGGTGAAGAAAAATGTAGTACTAAAACTACTCAAAAAATAGGACTTTTATGTATTAGAAAAACTGAATTAAATCGACAATTTTCCTGCTATTATAATGTGTGGGACTATATCTAGGACCACTATACAAATATCAATACTAATTAATGGAAATGGGGCGTATACCCATAAAAAAAAAATGTTGTTGTTATCCATAATATTTATTAAATTGATGGTCATTTCATACTTCATAAACCACTGGTTACAAGATGGCAAGAGCGCGAGGACGGACGTCTATCATAGTCGAGGGAGACTGCCTTGAAGTTATCCAAGCTTTACGAAATACTGGTTACGAGACATTTGTCTTTCGGCGCCGACTGCCTTAATATTGCAATTTCTTTTACTTGTTGTACTTTTTTGTTTGTTAAATAGTCTGGAAATCAATTGGCTCATGCTATGGCCAAGAACTTGGGACACGTCACATGGTTGCCCTTATGGCTAATATAACCTAATAAAGCTATTATTTGATTTCAAAAAATAAAATAAAAAACACGACTGGATACAAAAAATCCAAGGGTCACCAAAATCATGTCGAATGCATTTAATTTACCAATTTCATTCTTAAACGCCGATGGTTTTAGTAGTGGATGTTAAAGAAGTGAATACTTACACATGCCACAAATAGCTAGTGGGTTGTGGACTCCATTTCTTATGCCGGTCCTAGTAGAGTTATTAAACACATCCTCCGCTCCAAATTAATTGTTATTTTTCACCTTTATACAAATATTAAAAATCTCAATAAATGTGTTTTAATTTTTGAAAGAAAAAAAATACATTAAAGATACTAAAATAATCTTGACAATTTTAATGTACCAAAAGATAACATCCCTCGTCCCGGGGCTCCCATCCCTTGGTCCGACAAGTATTTGATGGAGGAATGTAAATCATGGTAACTCAACGGTCTGTAGCGGATCCGGACTTGGTGCCCACAAGGAACCAACCCTCATTGGAGTTGTCTTGACAGTTTTAATGATGTGATAAGAAAGAGATAATAGTTAAAATTGCATTATATAATGTTAAAATTGTTGTAAATCGCCCTAATGGTGTTGCTCTTCGGTTTGATGATTATGGAAAATAAAGTATGACAACAATAATAAAAGATAGAGAGAGAATGCAAAGACAAAAATCCGTAGAGAGATTAATAAGGGGGTAAATATGGGGGAGGGAGAATTCCATTATATAGGTGAAAAACCACGGGGAGTTACAAGAGAAGTTTCAAAATAAGTTACTCTACCACTAACACATAATGGGAAGACATGGGGTAGGTTAGTGATCTAGTGGGGAGTTGGGTGGTTATGTTAGGAAACCCCACAACTATATTATTTACAACACTCCCCCTTGGGGATTCCTATCAAAACCACTATTGTGCATTTCATGTCGCCTCATTAAAACCTTATGAGTAATAAAACCCAGTGGGACAAAACAACCTCGGTTAGGAAAAAGAGTTCAACGCACAATCTTAACCCTAATTTCAATTTTGACCCCAATTTTGATCCGCCACCGCCGGAGACCGCCGGTCGCCGCCGTTGACCGGCGTTGACTTTTTTTTTTTTTTTTTTTTTTGAAATTTTTTTTTCCTGAAATTTTTTTCCGGCCGGTCAACTGCCGTTGATTCCGGGTCTCCGGCGTTAATTTTTTTTTTTTTTTTTAATAATTTTGTTTTTTAATTAATATTACTGTCTTGGCTGCTAAATTGCTGTCTCCGGCAGTTATTCAACTGTCGGAGACAGTAATTTAACTGTTAATTGACTCTTTTTTTTTTCTTTAAAAATATTTTAATTAATATTACTGTATTCGTTGCTAAATTACTGTCTCCATTAGTTATTTTACTGTCGGAGACATTAATTTAACTGTTAATTGACTTTTTTATTCTTAAAAAAAATATTTTTAATTAATATCACTGTATTCGTTGCTAAATTACTGTCTCCGGCAGTTATTTAACTGTCGGAGACAGTAATTTAACAGTTAATTGACTTTTTTTTTTCCCTTAAAAAAAATTATTTTAATTAATATTACTGTCTTGGATGTTAAATTACTGTCTCCAACAGTAATTTAACTGTCTTAGACAATAATATTAATAATATTACTGTTCGGAAAAATAATATTCATAATATTACTGTCCCAAACAGTAATATTACTGTCTGAGACAGTAATTTAGTAGCCAAGACAGTAATATTAATTAAAATATATTTTTTCTAAGAAAAACAATTCAAAAAAAAAAAGTCAACGACGGAGACCGGCGGTCAACAGTGGTTGACCCGCCCGGAAAAAAAACATTTCAGAAAAAAAATTATTTTCTGAAAAAAAAAAGTTTTGGGGGTTAATGTCATATATTTGTTTAAATTCGGGGTCAATGTGTAATATTAAGGAAGTTAGAGTATAATGGGTGGAATTGATAAATATTATATTATTGAGCGTATTTTAGACTAAAGACATGGGGATGAGCTTAATTGAGAGACTGTTTTTTTTGTGGACTAAAATGCATTTAAGTCCCATGTGATGGGCCTTTTTGCCATTTGCCCTTAAAAATAATACATATTATAATCTTATCATATTTCAAGTATGCAAGAAAAAAAAATCTAATTAATCCAAACAATTGTAATAATTTATACAACTTAGGGCTCGTTTGGTTACCGCTATAAGGTTCTACTGACTAAATAGTAGGGGCTAATAGCATGTCCGGTTGGTAAGATTCACACGTTTTCAAACCCGCTATTAAATGCTACTATTTTTTTAAATTAGTAGCACCCCTCCCCCTGAGATTAATTCAATAGGGGGTGACTAAAAAGGAAAAAGACAATTTTATCCTTAAAATCATATTTTATTATTGTAAACTAAGTGGTTTTATAGACAATTCATATATAATAACCGATTTTAACAAATTTAATAGAAAATATAATCTAAGAAACCGAACATGCTACTAACTAAATAATTAATTAGTCAGTAGGGAGTTAATCAAATCTCATGTAATCCAATATAGGTAACCGAACGAGCCCTTAATATTTCGGGGACCTGAGGCATTACCCTAGATTAATTTTTAGAGGTATTGATGAAAAAAATTAAAAAAGAATTCATAAACTTTTCTCAAAACAGTAAAATTTTAACCATTTTATTTTATATTTTTATATTAAATATGATTTCATATCTATAATTTGTATAGAATTATTGAGAAAAAACATAAAAATAAAGGGTTAAAACATATATTTATAAAAATTTTGAGAGGACCAAAACTAATATTCAAAAAGTATAATTATATATATATATATATATATATATATATATATATATATATATATATATATATATATATATATATATATATATATATATATATATATATATATATATATATATATATATATATATATATATATATATATATATATATATATATATATATATATATATATATATATATATATATATATATATATATATATAAAATAGAAAAAAAATTTGAAAGTGAGGGGGGCTTGAGTCCACCCTAACCCTTGGGTGGACTCGCCCCTGTTTGCAACCAAGGCCGGTCCGGGGTCCGGGAGACCTAAAGCGAAGAGACAATAGATGAGGTCTTGGGGCTTTTTTTTTTGTTTGATACGCAGTGGTGAAAATCGGACGGATTAAATAAAAATTGCATTTTTTCAGGAAAAAAATCAATACAAGTGAAAAAATCGTTTCAATTCTGTTAAAAACAAAATTCGAAATTATTTATTAAAAAACCAGAAAGTTCGGTATAATCAAAATAGGTGGAATTCGAATAAAATTATAATTCATTAGTCGCCTAAAATATAAAGTACATGATGATACGTGCAGGATTACCCCAAAAGTCCCGACGATAAATTCCTAAGAACAAAGTCCAAGTCCACTCCCGTCTATGCCCACTAAGCAAGCCACCAATCCATGTAAGGTAGTTATATATAGGTGGGCATATGACGAAAGGCGAACAACCTGTAGTTTGACGTGGACCGAAGAAGGGCCCACTGGACATCTACAATGAGGCGAACATCTCTGCGAGTCCTTCCCATTTGAACTAACCCAACTTGCAAAAGAGCAGAACAACTCGCCTCCAAAGAAAACAAACTCGAAATAATCACATTACATCCACGTATGGGTATGATCAGAAACAGAGGGAGGGCCCACCACCCCGTTCATGAGACAGATATAAATACAACATTGAGAAGCACATAAAGAGATATTGGTATTCAAGATACACCTTACTCTTATTACACTACTAAAAATGCGCTTATATTGTTTTCCCACGATTCTGACTGACTTTACCGTCATAGTGCTAACCACGGGATATCCTTTCTGGCACTCTTTTTTGCAGGTCTTTTAGGACCACGTGGGCTTCTTCAGTGGGCTTCGTCATTGGACTTTCTATATTCTAAGTCCATTCCATATCCTTATCTCCAAAAGACCATATAGGCCATATCAACTGGCCGCGGTGGGAATATGATCTTGAGATTTTGACGTTGAGACTATTGTAATAGTTAACAGTGCTTCGACCGAAAATTGAAAGCACGGTTGGACGAAACGGAGCAAGCTGACGGCACATGGAACGTAAAAGGAAGGGGGGACTTCCCCACCCGACCACTCCGGTGGTCGGGATGGCATCACCTCGAAAAAGAGGCAATCATGCTATCTGATATGAACTACGTCAACATGTGACGAAACCCAATAACAATATATAGTTTTGGAACCCCAAGACCCCCCAAAGAAACAAGTTTGTCGAACCTTGACCCAATGATTAGTAAATCACGAAATCCACCTGGCCAGGACTTGGCATAAACAAATCTTATAAGCTACTCAAGGGTTATTATCAATCTCATATTTCAGAGATGTGGATTCCTTTCGATAATTAATTTCCACCTATTGATTCTTAATGTCTCTACCCAGGCCAACGCACCAGGGGCCATTTGACTCAATATAGGAATCTCTCCCATTGTGACATCAAAGTAGAGATCATCAATTAAATATGTAAGTTAATTATCTAGGGATTAAGAGAGTAAGTAATTTACTGTCAACTAGAAATGATACAGTTTCATTTTGAACAGTGATAAAACAATTATTTCACTTTGTCCGGTTCAACACATGCTGGGTGTGCTAGCACAATAAGTCAAAACAATAACTACAAAAGTTATTTTCTGTTTACTGTGATCAAGACCAATCACTTAAATATTGTGCTACAATCTTTTACCAATGATTAGTCCATTTCCATCTAGATTGTGAACGTTTATCTTTATATTCTAAACGAACTTTCGAAATGATCTTACTGTGCGTCGTAGCACACCATCTCGAATACTATTAGAATATTAGACTTATGCTTTTAATTAATTGACAAACAATCCATTAAATGCATTGAATACCCTAGTGCAGATTCTCATAAAATGATAATATACAATATTATTAATTCAATAATAAAATGATGAACTAAAAGCGAGACTTTTAGTCTACTATCCTAACAATGAGGTCATGGGGGGAGGGATTTCGTTTTTTGGTACATGAAATACATATTCCAATCACCGATACGCCATCTTTTCTTTTTTCCTTAAGCTCTCCACTTTAAATTATCATGCTTGACATGCTTCCTTTTTTCTTTATATTCGTCTTATTTTTCACCTCAAAAATCCCGGAACGATGTTACCTCTTCCTCGACGACTTAATTGTTAATTCTTTTGCTCTGCCTTTCCGACTATGGGCCAACCACCACCTGTTTGCATTTCTTTTCTTTTCAATATAACTTTTTTTTTTTCTTTCACTTCGATCGCCAAAAGACGTTTGCGCCTGAGATTAGCAGAAAAATCTTCTCCCCCACATATAATTCTTGTCCACTATTACAACGTCCCGAAATCTTCTATTTCTTCCGTGACAGAGCACGCACCGCCTTTCGATCTCCTCACCCAAGGCCGCCAACTCCTGCTTCTCTCTCGCCACTTGCAATTTATGACTCGTTCCTCCATCATTTACTGTAGCGAGTACCCAGGTTTTGTGCAAAATTTGTGCAACTATATATTCATTATTATTAATATTAAAAGCTCAACTATTAACAAATTTATATATATATATATATTAAATTTTGACAATCAAATTAACTACACTCATAGATATCATGTGAAATTCATATACTCATGTGTTAGGTGATCTCTCTGTATAAGCTTTATGTTTGTTGTGTATATTCATGCAACACATAATTTTCTTTTTCAGTTCTTTGTCTAAACTTTTCAATGTAACTATTCATGTATTATTAAGTCATCAGTCTAAATCACTCATTTAAGCTCTATATACGTTGTTGAATACATTTGTTCATGTATTGTTAAGTTTTTAGTCTAACTTTCATGTCTAAGTTGTCTATGTGTTGTTACATATCTTCATGTATTAATTATAAGTTATTAATCGAAGTTTATCGTCTAAGTTGCCCGAATAATTATTCAGTGCCTGAAGGGTAAAGATGTTTGTTAAGTCTAAACTCCTCCACTCCAACCATCCCTGCTGCATCAACCCTTCAAATCTACTACACTTCCGCTCCTCGCTGCTACCGTACGTTGTCAAATCTATGGCGAGCACAGTTACACACACGTGAATACACATGCGCACGCACATACACACATATACACTATTTTTCTGGTGGTGGTGGTGGTGGTGGTGTGTTTGTTGATGGTGGTGGTAATGTGGGCATCAGAGGGTTAATTTTTTTGTAACGAAGCTCCGCATATAAGATTTCTAAGTTCTCTATGGAAGCTCCATATGTGTTGTGGACATGTCGGGTCAAAAAATGCATATGGTGGAACCGTAACCGTCCTAGGGGTAGGCGGTTCCACGGCCGGTTGTGGACGTCAATTCCTAGTTGAACAGTAATTTTTTTTTTTGAATTTTTTATTGAAAAAAATATAAAGAGGTAAAGAAAAGGTAAATTGAAAGGACTTGAGCATAATATTAAGGTAACTATAATGGAAGTTATTTATTTATATGCTAATACTATCTTAATAAATTAAATATTAGTAAAAAGAAATCCGAATATTATATAGTTTATTGTTGAGATAATGGTAACATTTGATTCTTTTAGTGTACATATTAAATATAAATAGGAAATAGTTTAAAATATTATGATCATGGTTATTAAAAATTTACAATTTAAAATTCAAATTTTATTATCATCGCCAATAATCCGCTATAGGAGGTATAGGACAATTCTTTTTTCAGTACGACATGTACGAAGTGGTTGATGTTTACGTAAGCTAGTCCATGCTCTCATATCTTATCGGAGGGTAGCGGTTCACTGTTTAAGGGAAGGAATGTGAGACATTGTTGTGGCGCTAAGTAGACGAGCACAATATTGTACGTAGAGGCAATGATATGACCCATATCGGGTAAAGACATCCAATACTCTCTTGTAGCATATTTTTCCAAACCACACAGTCGCGTTTCTAACGCACAAATGTTTTCACGACGACGGTGCATCTTCAGGTATATTGCTTCGTTCTTATATAGCTCATTAACCATGTCTCCTCGTACACAATTCCAATTTTTTTCTCCGAAACCCATCATCGATGCAACCGCTCGAAATCCACAATGACCATCCGAGTCGACATTCTTTATACTTTTTACATACGTCTGAAACATTGGATGGATTTGGTCAAGAAACAAAGCCTTGCCGTTGACTTTTCGACCCTGACAAATTAGAAAACGAAAGGAGTTTAGAGGGACAAAGAAATTTAGCAAAACTAAAGAAGACGTTCAAATACTTACCGGCAACTTTCGTAATAAAATGGGTTTAGCCGACTCTTGTGACGGCATTAAATCCACTTTCATAGGTCGTGGAATTTTAGGACAAACCCACGTCACGCCTTCGAGCTTACTTTATTGACAACGTATTAAAATTAGCAATTTATCAAATCAACATCAACAACTCCAAAAATTGAAGATAAGTAATCGAATTTTACCTTAGCAGAACAACTATCATGTGTCGATGGTGGATACTCATGCCTCGATGGGTTGCGACGGGTTGATTTATCAACCACCTTTAACTTTTTTCCCGGTCGACCTCTAGTGGTGGCCTTTTCCGATGGCTCCATTGTAGATGTTCGTTGAGGATATACAATTTCGTTGAACTTGTTTAGCATTTCGTTCCTTTCATCTACATCGGCCGATGCAAACCGTTTGTGCCATCCTTTCATGAGTTCGTCATCATTAGGAAGCTCTCCTTGACCAATAACCGGCTCCATACTCATATGCATCCAAATGGAGCCTACTAATTCAAGTGGAACATGAGATTTCTTCTTGACAAACTCGCGAAGCTCGTGGTAACATGGTAGATCGTGTGTTGCACGGATAGCACATTCACATAGCATGTCACTGTTTGGAAGCAGCTTTTGTGCTTTATCAAGCTCAATTTTTAGATGGTCAAGGGCGCATTGCGAGACAGCTCCTCGAAGCTCACTATAGATTGGTTTCTTGAAACAATGGAGGTATGTATTCTTGCTCTTCTCAAATGATTCCCTTATGTGATCATGTTGCGTCATAATACTACTGTTGATATGTTCATACACCTGAACAAATGTGCCAAGGCAATTGCCCATATCGATCTTCAGCCGAGAGTGCGCACCCTCCGCCCGGTTTGAAGTGTAAGTACCGAAATGTTGATACTTTTTAGTTCATGCCGATACAAGCCTCTCCTTGTACGGATCCAACCATGATTTGGTAAGATATGCTATGGCATCCGGATAATCAACAAAAGTCCGTTGCATTTTCTCCCAATCTCTATTGAATATCTCTTCGGACTCCACTTCAATAAGAGTCGCCCAATCTCTATTAAACTGATTCCACAACTTCTCAGATGAGAACATCGCTTTACAGGTGGAATATATATTCTTGTTCACATGCCAACGACACAACAAGTGATGACTGGTTGGATATACATCCCCAATCGCTTTCATTAAACTCAATTCCCGATCAGTTACGATGCTATTAGGCGGAGGACAATTTCCGAGTATCTTCTCCAAACTTTGCAATGCCCAAACGTAGTTCTCCGTCTTTTCGTACTCCAAGTAAGCAAAGGCAATGGAGAACGTCTTGTGCGTACATGTAAAGCCAACAATCTCAAGTAATGGGAGTTTATATTGATTGGTTTTGTATGTGCAATCCATGATGAATACGTACGGATAGCTACGAGCTAACTTAACACAACTCGGATGAGTCCACACCATATCGATTACCTCTTTATTATTGTTAACTCTATGGTAGAAGGTACACTTATCTTTTGACAACCTTGCAAACAATTCTTGCATTTGAGTTCTTCCAAGTCTCTCTTTCAATTGCAATTTCTGACGATACTTGTAAATTTTCCTCATTCCAGTTACATTCGTCTCGTCCCTTATCTTCAATGATTTGAGAATCGCCTTCGGCTTCGCCATTGCTTTAGACATTCCTTCAACAAGTACCATCTCTTCTTTTGTTAGTCTCCCGGCATAAGAGTGGTCGTGCAAGTTCTCGAAATCCGTGTGGGTGTGAGTACCACATTGAACTTTTAAATCCCACCCAACATTATCAGTATCCTTTCCTTGTTTTGCCCCCTTTAATCTAAATGTGCAATTACATTTTTTAGAACCCGTCCTCCTCTTTCCCTCTCCTCGGTCATCCTCACCGGCTTTCTTCTTCCCACGATATTCACCCGCACGCTCGCATGCGAGTATTACATACGGTCTTCTACGCCCTTTCAATCCCGGATTTGAAACGAAAGTGTTTATCACCATTTCGTGGCGTCTACCAACACCTTTAACCCACTCAAGTAGAGCTTCTCGTGTCTCAAATATTTGTTCGGTAGAAAATTCATCCGAATAATCCTCCATCAATCCCCTAGGTTGCTGCAAGAAAGTACGGGAAAACGGTCTTAAAAAAACATATATAATAAAATCGGTGCTCAAAAACCGATTTTATGTAGTCTAAATCGGCATGATAACACCGGTTATAGACAAAAAAATTGGCTTTTTCATGCCTGTTCTTACTACAAAAATCGGGTATTGAGTACCGATTTTTATTCCAATAATCGGACTGTAGTTTCCGATTTGTGCAACAAAAATCGGTTTATAAATACCGATTTTTTGTGTCATCGATTTTTTTTCCAACAAAAAAAAAACGACCCAAAAGCAAAAATAAACGATTAAAACATACCTTATTGTGTTCTCCACCCTCGTAAACCACCATATCATTGTTTTCTGGCTCCATCATGAATGTTTGGTGTGTATTTGATAATTTCGGCGTGTAGCGTTTCTTGGAGGCTTTGTGAAGAAGAAGGAGGAGATTTTTAAGTCGTGAAATAATGAAAGGAGATTTCTAGGGTTATGTATTTTATTTGGTCTTGCACAAAGGAAATATATTTTTTATTTTTTAATATTTTGTGTTTTTTATTTACTTTTAATTTCATTAAGGGTAAATTAGTATTTTTATGTTAGAGGTCTTGAACTAATAAAAAAATGGGCTTGCATATAACGGCCGCCTTTTTAAATATAAAAAAAAATTATACGATTCGATTTTATGATATTTGCGAATTAAAAAAAATTTAGATTTTAATATATTTTTATGATGAAATTTCATTAATATGTTATTATAACACTTAGAAAGACAGATTAGATTTAGTATTATCATTCATGAACAAATGTCTTCCACGACAAATAGATAGCTTGTAGAGAGAGAAATTAGACTGAGTATTATCAATACATGAACGGATGCATGTCACAACCAATGGTGGAAGAAGGAATTTACGATTGAAGAGGTCGACAATTATAGATGATGTTATAAATGTATACACATTTTTTAGAGTATGGCAGTGTGTCACTGAATCCTTTCTAGGGTATTAATAAAATAAAAAGCCACAAAATAATAAATATTTATAAGTGTTAATTAAAATAACATAAAGTAAAATATAGACTATATAAGAAGCTGGAATAGCTCAGTTGGTTAGAGCGTGTGGCTGTTAACCACAAGGTCGAAGGTTCAACCCCTTCTTCTAGCGAAAAATGTAACTTGGCAAAAACAAAATATGTTTAGTATATTAAAACTTGTTGTACCCCCTTCTTCTAGCAAAAATGTAACTTGGCAAAAACAAAATATGTTTAGTATATTAAAACTTGTTGTACCCCGTTCTTCTAGCAAAAATATAATTTATTATTATTTTTTATCTAGGCTACTTTATTTTTTTAATAAATAAATATGTTTACTATATTAAAATTCGTAGCGAAAATATGATTTATTATTACTTTTTTCCCCTTAATGTAGAGTTTAAGAAATGCCAAACAAGATTTTTGACGAGACACCTTTGTATTCTCTTTTTCGTAATAAAATAAAGTTATTTTGGGCCAAAATAAAATATGGGCAATTTACTATAGGTCCCTCTATATTAAATTTTATGTTGTAGATCCAAGTCAAAATTTCCATGTTTTAATAAATTAATAATATTTATTGGCAAAAATACCCTTAGTTAAAATAAAAAGGCACAAAGTGATAAATATTTATAAGTGTTAATTAAAATAACATAAAGTAAAATATAGAGTATTTACAAAGTTGGAATAGCTCAGTTGGTTAGAGCGTGTGACTGTTAACCGCAAGCTCAAAGGTTCAATCCCTTCTTCTAGCGAGAAATGTAACTTGGCAAAAATAAAATATGTTTGTTATATTAAAACTTGTTGTACCCCCTTCTTCTAGCAAAAATATAATTTATTATTATTTTTTATCTAGGCTCCTTTGTTTTTTTTTTTTTTTTTTTTTTTTTTTTTCTTTTTTTTTTTTTTTTTTGTACTGAAATAAATTTATTTTTTTGACAAAACAAAATATGTTTAGTATATTAAAACTCGTAGCAAATATATGATTTATTATTATTTGTTTTCCTTAATGTAGAGTTCAAGAAATGCCAAACAAGATTTTTGACGAGACACCTTTGTTTTTTCTCTTTTTCGTAATAAAATAAATTTATTATGGGCCAAAACAAAGTATGGGCAATTTTCTATAGGTCCCTCTATATTAAATTATAGGGAAAATGAGGGATAACCCCCTCATTAGGTAAAATAATATAGTACGGGTCCAATTTATAATTGTCCATTTGTAGACAAACTCATTTAATATTTTCTGAATTGTGTGACCCCCCCTAAGGTTATGTTAATGTTTATTATGCCTTTTTTTGTTCATATTTTTCTCCAATTTTCTTTCTCTTCTCCTTATTTCTCTCATATCCGTCATTTTATATCCTCCATTAATTTCTCTCTCTTCCTTATTTTCCTCAATTTTTTAACGTGTTCTTTTATTCTTCTTATTTTTCTCTCTCTTATCTTCTCTCTCTTCCTTCCCTTCTCTCTCTTCTCTCTCCCCCCCAATTTCCTCTTTTCCCGTATCTTTTTCTTTTCTTCTTTTTTCTCCCTCTCTCTCTCTCTCTCTCTCTCTCTCTCTCTCTCTCTCTCTCTCTCTCTCTCTCTCTCTCTCTCTTCTTAGTTTTCTCTCTCCTCTCTCCTATCTTCTCTCTCTTCTCTCTCCTCCTCAATTTCCTCTTTTCCCGTATCTTTTTCTTTTCTTCTTTTTCTCCCTCTCTTTTCTCTCTCTCTTCTCTCTTTCTTCTTTCTCTTCCCTCAATTCCCCTCTTCTCGTCTGTTTCTGTTTCATTTTTTTCCCTCTATTTCTTCTCACTACTGTACCTTTTCTTCTATATCTCATTTTTTTGTCGTTGAAATCAATTTATTTTCTACTCTATGAAATTCATGTTTTCATGAAGATGAGATTTTTATCATGAGTATTCAATTTTATAACACCATAGTATCTTAAATTGAAAAATAATATGGTAAATTAATGGAAAAATTATAGTTGACTACCAATTTTTTTATAGTTGACATTTGAACAATTATAGTTGACTATCTAATTTTTATAGTTGACTCTGGCAAAAATATAGTTAACTACCATTTTTTTATAGTTGACATCGTAAAAATTATAGTTGACTATCTTATTTTTATAGTTGACTTTGGGAAAAATATAGTGAACTACCGATTTTATAGTTGACTTTGAGTGTAGATGACTACAATATTTTATGTTTTCGACAACACTGATCTTTTCTTTGTTTTGGACTCTGATAAAACAAATTTCATAGGAAAACAAATATTTATGAGTCAACAAATAGTGCGACCATAGATCTGTAGATCTAAAAAACAATCGTGTTTACAAACTCCATTTTTGAGTAATCAACCATGGAAGACATCCGAACCGTCGCATATGGTCGTCGCATACCGCAGTATACCGTTTCTGTAGGAGACCTTGATTTTTTCCTTCGGAGTTGCTGAAGAGGGTGTCAAAAACAGAAATTATGTGGTAAATGTACATAAATTAGGTTAATAGACGTCGAGGGGAGCGACGAGTGTATAGGAAACTACCTGTCTTCTTCTTGCTACCTTTCACCATTGTTGTTGACTTGTATTTCTCAACGATTCTCACACAAATGTTATTTGTTGTTTTTTTTTTTTTTTAAAAATGTAGCAAACTAGGGCATTGTTGTGTCTGGGAAATGATCCGATGTATTTGGAGATTTTTTTAGGCGATTTTCTTGGCACAAATATAGCACCGTAGCGTAAATTGACGAGAAATTATTTTGATGAAACGGATGAAGATATGCAGCTTTGGGAAAAATAGGGGGGGGGGGGGGGGGGGGGGTCCTTTCCTCTTCAAAAATATAGGGGGCAGTTCAGTAATTACTAATTGTGAGGGGGTTTGACCCATTAAAAATAATGTAAGGTGGGTTAGTCCTAATATTTTTCCTAATGAGGGGCTTATATCTTTGTAGACGCATAAAATTAATTAATTGGTTAGTTAAATTAGCCAATTAAATTGTGTCTAAATTAAATTATAATTTATCTTACAAAATAAGTTATGGAGATAATTATCAATTAATTATTGGCCAATAGGATTAATTCTTCTCTTCCAAGTTATAAGAGATAAATATCAATTTAAAGAGAGCCAATCAAATCGCGCCACGTCATCAAGTAGACTTTAAGTATGACTCTTATTCTACCACTATAAATAGGGACCCTCTCTACACAATTCAAAAGACAACTCAAGAAGAAGAAAAACCGTAGGAGAAAATTCTCTCTACAATATTCAAGTCGTTCTTCATCAAATTCAAGGCGTTCTTCATCAAATCGAGGGCGTTCTTCAACAAATCAAGATCGAAGGAAGATTGAAGGGTCAAATCCATCAAGAACTTCAAGATCTTCAAGTCAAAACCCGTCAAAGTTCAGCGTTTCGATCCGAGATTCAAGTCGCAAGACCCTCGGAAGACGTTATTCAAATCCAAATCAAATCCGGAGAAGATCAAGTCAACGACCCGTCTCCGAAATTCAAAGTCAAACACATATTGTTCTTGAGAGAAGAATCAGAGGATTAAATTAGAGTTTGTAACCCGCAATATTTATTTTTAATTCAATAAAATTATCTTTGTGCAAGTTTTTCTTGTTTGTCTAAATCACATATAAGATTTTGTTGTTACAAATTTTGGCACGCCCGGTGGGACATCTCTACCTCTCATCTCTTCTCTCTCTCGAAGATCCTCGAAGTGTTGCAGTGACTGCTCTACGTTCACAATGAAGATTGCTTCTTCGGATTCATCAAGTGTGGGCTTAGGTACAAGGAGTATGGCTAAGAAGCTGCAAGCATCCTCCGAGACTAACTCGACGCCTCAAACCATTCAGAAAGGCTTACCACCTCTTGTCAACACAAGCGCAGACGTGGAAGGTTCAAAACGAGAGATTTCACAGCCCACGCCTCGTTCAACATCAAGCTACTCAGAGGTGGCATCCGTCATGACAACAAACGCTACAACCATGGAGGAGCAAATTGCAAGTTTGACAAAGGCCATTGAGGGACTCGCAAAGCATGTTCAACAACGAGATTCTGAAATTGCCGAGTTGATCAACAAGATGGACAAAGCCGATGCTAGTCAAGCTGTGGAGAATCAGATAGAGGTTCAAGACGAAGTCGAGACATCCACAAAGCAATAGACATGGCCACGGGCCGGGTCGGACCCGGACCCGACCCGGACCCGCCCCGGCGACTGCCCCGCCCCGCCTCGGCCCCGCCCCGTTGACCATGGACCCGGACCCGGACCCGAAAATATATGGGTCGGTTTCGGGTCCCGATAATTAGGACCCGAGACCCGACGGGTCCACCCGGCGGGTGGACCCGAGGACCCGGACCCGAGGACCCGACCCGAGGACCCGTCGGGTCCACCCGAATAAAAAAATATGTTTTTTTCAAATTTTAAACATGTAACGGCTATAAACCGGACCCGAACCGTACCCAGCCCGGACTTGGTCCGGGAATTTAAAAAATGTTTTTTTTTTTCAAATTACAACGGCTATAAAGTCGGGTCCACCCGGACCCGACCCGGACCCGAACCGGACCCGACCCGAAAAATTCAAAATTTTTTTAACTTCACAAGAAGGTACCGATTCTCAACTTTTTAAATTTTCAAAAATTGTAGAAAGAGAAGAATGGGCTAGAGTTATTTCAGTAGCATCACTTTCATTTAGTTTTGCTGATAATGATTGTCTTATAGACCGTTTTAAAAACATGTATGGACCTAGTTGTTCTCGTCAACCAAAAACTACAACTACTCGAACTACAAAAAAATTGGTTTCTCGACTTAAACTTGAATTAGTACAAGAATTTCTTATGCTAGACAACAAAGTTTCTATTTGTTCTGATATTTGGAGTGATCATTGGGGTCGTAATGACTATATAGGTGTAACATGTCATTGGATTAATCGTGCATGGAAACTTGAAAAAAAAATAATTGGTTTTCCTGTTATGAATAGTGGTCATACTGCATCTGAAATTGCACAATCACTTCGCTATGTGTTAGATTCATATTTATTAACTGAAAAAGTTTTTTCAATTTCATTCGATAACGCAAGTGCTAATACGACGTCTATCCCTGATCTTGTAGCTGCATGTAAGCCAGCATGTGGGGGAAATTTTTTTCATATTAGGTGCATATGTCATATTTTGAATTTATGTGTCCAAGATGGTTTACGAATGTTGTCAACGCATATTACTAAAATTAGAGCATGTATTCAATACATATGGCGACACAAGTCTGTTACCAGACGATGGTGGGAGTTTTGTCAAACCCACCACATGCATTAAGATAGATTTAACCGAGATACTCCAACTCGTTGGAACTCAACATATAGACTTTTAAAACAAACTTTTGCATATAAAGACTTATTATGTCAATTTTTTCAAACGGAATTTCCTCAGGCTGAAATTTATATTTTACCATCTGAATGGGATACATGCTTGAAAATTTGTAATGTTTTAAGCATTTTTTCCGAAAGTTCTGATTTATTATCTGGTACTTATTATCCTACTGCTCATTTAATTGTTTATCAGTTATGCAATATTGCCGGTGTTATTAACGAAGCTATGCAAATTGAAATTTTAGTTCCCTGTCTGAATGAAATTAAGAAAAAATTATGCAGATATTATATGAATATTCCTGAACTATATTTGATTGCTACAATTTTAGATCCTAGACTTAGGCTTGATCTATTACCTGATATGCTACAAATATATTACGATAATTTGTCTAAGGATATATCATTGATTGATTGCCCTCCACTTCCTGACGTACCTACTCTTGTTAGCACTTCGACTACATTATTAAATCAACTATATGATGAATATGCTAGTATATCTGGAACATCTAATGTTCCAAATAACAATCCTGCTTCAACATCGGATACATCTACTATGTTGGCGGCGCAACGTTTATTGCATGAGCGCTTCAAGCGCCCAAGGTCCTCATCCTCAAGTTCAAGTTCCAATCAACGATTGGAACTTGAGAGTTATTTGACCGTTAGTTTTGATTCCACAGAAAGTACAGATTTTGACATACTAGCGTGGTGGAAGTCAAAAAGTTCATCATTTCCAATTTTGGCACGGATTGCCAAGGATGTTCTCGCTTGCCCCGTCTCCACTGTTGCGGTCGAATCTGCCTTTAGTGTAGCCGGTAGAGTATTGGATCCAACAAGAAGCAATTTAGGTGCCGACAATTTTGAAAATCAAATGCTTTTGGGAGATTGGACGAAAACCGACTACAGACACAAAGATGATCACATCGACAAAGACGACGACGATGATGATAAATATGTTCCTACGGAAGGTGGGAATACAACTTCACCCGGCGGCACAAGCGACGACTAAAAAGGTAAGTGAAGGTAAGAGAACTACGTGGACTTTGATTCCATACCGGATACGTAGGCAACTTAGTTTTAAATTTAAAATTTTATAATTTTGAATTTAAAACTAAGCTCAAGTCCTTTAAATTTATCTTCTTTTTTTTCCTTTAAATTTAAAAAAAAGAAAAAAAAAATAAAAAAAATTCAAGAACCGGTTTTGGACCCGGACCCGGCCCGGACCCGGACGGACGCGAGTGGACCCGACCCGGACCCGGACCCGCCTCCCCGCGGGTCGGTTTCGGGTCCCGAAAAAGTAGGACCCGGACCCGGCGGGTCCGACCCGGACCCGGACCCGACCCGGCCCGTGGCCATGTCTACAAAGCAACAACCAGTTGAAAACGAGAAGGCTCCAGCTCAAGAACTTCAAGTTTCTCCAGAAGGGATGATTCATGTAGATCAAGTGATGACGCTGATCAGTGGAACCATCAAAGACAAGTTGGAAGGAAGCTCGAAGTTTCCATCAACCTATGTCAAGCCATACACGCAAAGGATTGATGATCTAAGGATGCCAATGGGCTATATACCTCCAAAGTTTCAACAATTTGACGGCAAAGGCAACCCCAAGCAACATGTGGCACACTTCGTCGAGACTTGCAATGATGCCGGGACGTACGGAGATCACCTCGTCAAGCAATTCGTCCGATCGCTCAAAGACAACGCGTTTGATTGGTACATTGATTTGGGGGCAAACTCCATCGATAGTTGGAAGCACTTAGAGGAATAATTTCTCAACCGCTTTTACAGCACTCGAAGAACAGTCAGCATGATTGAGCTCACCAATTCCCGCCAATGGAAGAATGAACCTGTCATCGACTACATCAAACGTTGGAGAAATTTGAGTCTCAATTGCAAGGATCGACTGTCTGAGACATCAGCTATTGAACTGTGCATCCAAGGAATGCAATGGGGACTCCGATATATCCTTCAAGTAATTCAACCTAAAAGTTTTGAAGAGTTGGCCACTCGAGCACATGATATGGAGTTGAGCATACTTGCAAATCAAATTGAAGAATCACCATTCCAAAAGCCGTACCAGCTCAAAGAAGTGCATCTTGAAGAAGAACAAGAAAATCATGAGGATGGGGGCAAGTCTTTTGAAGAAGCAACACCCTATGCAATATGACAAGTCAAATCAAATGAAGCACTCCTTGACACGAGTTTAAAAGGTCTACAAGTCCAAATCAAATGAAACACTCCTTGACACGAGTTTAAAAGGTCTACAAGTCAAAATCAAGTGAAATACTCCTTGACACGAGTTTAAAAGGTCTATATGTCCAAATCAAACGAAGTACTCCTTAACACGAGTTTAAAATGTCAACATATCCAAATCAAACCAAAGCTCCTTGATACGAGCATAAACTATCTATATATCCAAATCAAGTCAAGGCTCCTCAATACGAGCATAAACTATCTATATATCCAAATCAAGTCAAGGCTCCTCGATACGAGCATAAACTATCTACATATCCAAATCAAGTCAAGGCTCCTCGATACGAGCATAAACTATCTATATGTCCAAATCAAGTCAAGCCTCCTTGATACGAGCATAAACTATCTACAAATTCAAGTCAAATGCTCCTTCAGTACGAGCTTAAACTGCAAATGTTTCTCCTTGTCCACATGAGTATAAACTGTGCACGACATCCCTCAAAATGATATATTTTGAACTACGTTATGACTTGATCCCTTTATAGGGTACGTAGGCAACTTAGAATCTCTCTAAGTTCAGTCATGATTTCAAAAGATATATGTTCTTTTCTAGATCAAGCTGCAATCAAAGTTGAGCAATTATTGAGACTCATCCACTCCAAGATGCATTGTCCGTGAACAAGTCTCGAGGGGGCATTTGTAGACGCATAAAATTAATTAATTGGTTAATTAAATTAGCCAATTAAATTGTGTCTAAATTAAATTATAATTTATCTTACAAAATAAGTTATGGAGATAATTATCAATTAATTATTGGCCAATAGGATTAATTCTTCTCTTCCAAGTTATAAGAGATAAATATCAATTTAAAGAGAGCCAATCAAATCGCGCCACGTCATCAAGTAGACTTTAAGTATGACTCTTATTCTACCACTATAAATAGGGACCCTCTCTACACAATTCAAAAGACAACTCAAGAAGAAGAAAAACCGTAGGAGAAAATTCTCTCTACAATATTCAAGTCGTTCTTCATCAAATTCAAGGCGTTCTTCATCAAATCGAGGGCGTTCTTCAACAAATCAAGATCGAAGGAAGATTGAAGGGTCAAATCCATCAAGAACTTCAAGATCTTCAAGTCAAAACCCGTCAAAGTTCAGCGTTTCGATCCGAGATTCAAGTCGCAAGACCCTCAGAAGACGTTATTCAAATCCAAATCAAATCCGGAGAAGATCAAGTCAACGACCCGTCTCCGAAATTCAAAGTCAAACACATATTGTTCTTGAGAGAAGAATCAGAGGATTAAATTAGAGTTTGTAACCCGCAATATTTATTTTTAATTCAATAAAATTATCTTTGTGCAAGTTTTTCTTGTTTGTCTAAATCGCAGATAAGAATTTGTTGTTACAATCTTATTAACCCTAAATTATATGTTACAGATCCAAGTCAAAATTTCCATGTTTTAATAAATTAATAATATTTATTAGCAAAAATACCCTTCGTTAAAATAAAATCAAATCCCAAATCTCTTTATCAAAAAAAAATTCCAAAAAATCTCTCTTCCAAATATTAACTAAAAAATTAAATTAATTCATAAAAATAATACAATTTATTTTACAAACTCATACTTTAAAAATGCTACCGATGACTTCGAGAACTATGACGCTTCCCGCGACGCCTATGATTCTATGCACTGCAAATAGCAAACTAAAAATTAGATTTTTTATTATTGAACTACAAACAACGAAATATCTATGATTTCGTCAAATGCAAACAACAAACTGAAAAAAAAAATCCAGAATTTGCATTATTAAATTGCCAACAAAAAATTACCTATGACTTCGCCAAATGCAAACAACAAACTGAAGAAAATAATTCAGCAGAACTTGCATTATTGAATTGCAAGCAATAAAATAACCTATGACTTCGTCAAATGCAAACAACAAACTGAAAAGAAAAAAACATCATCATTAAAAACACCAACAAAAAATTATTTATGGAACCCGTTGCAAACAACAAAAATATTAAACAAAGTGTTTGTAAAATGTAACTTAAGACATACCTTGCAAATTGTAAACCAGAGGACTCGAATCTCAACACCAAACACAATTCTTCAAACAACAAACGAAGTTAAACCAACTTGCAAACGAAAATTGCTAGCAACAAACGATGGGAAGGTTCTACATACGGGAGACACAATGCGAATTTTGGCTAGAATTTATGATTTTTGAATTTTTTTTTTAGGAGAGGGGAGGGGATGTTTGTTATCCTCTTTAATTCTTTCACTAAGAAATCATCTCTTAATCTAAAAACATCCCTGTTTTTTCCTTCTCTACAATATTTCTTCATAAAAAAAATAAAGAAAAGAAAAAAAAAACAGAGAAGAACGAGAGAAAGAGAGAAAGAGAGAAAGAGAGAGAGAGACGTGAGATACAAAGGGAGAGATATGATCGAGGGATTAAATATAGGGTGGGGGAAACGTGAGATTGGAGAGAGAGGATATATGATATTTGTTTTCGTATTAATTGAGGGTGTTTATGTCTATATACTAATTATTTTATGTTATTTATATTATTTTTTTGGGTCAAATGACCTATGCCTATATTCATCCAGCAACTAGGATCTCTACCAATATAAGTCTAAAATAAGGGGACTCTAGCAAATTTCCCCAACAAAATATGTTTAGTATATTTATAAAAAGAGATTAGACTGAGTATTATCAGTACATGAATGGATGCATGCCACAACCAATGGTGGAAGAAGGAATTTACGATTAAAGAGGTCGACAATTATAGATGATGTTATAAACGTATACACATGTTTGAGAGTAGGGCAGTGTGTCATTGAATACTTTCGAGTGTATTAATAAAATAAAAAGGCACAAAACGATAAATATTTATAAGTGTTAATTAAAATAACATAAAGTAAAATATAGATTATATAAAAAGCTGGAATATCTCAGTTGGTTAGAGCGTGTGGTTGTTAACCACAAGGTCGAAGGTTCAACCCCTTTTTCTAGCGAAAAACGTAATTTGGCGAAAAAAAAATATGTTTAGTATATTAAAACTTGTATCCCCTTCTTGTAGTGAAAATATAATTTGTTATTATTTTTTGATCTAAATGTATGGTTCAAAAATTTCCAAACAAGATTTTTTGAAGAGGCTCCTTTTTTTTTTTTTTTTTTCTTTTTCGTAATGAAATAAATTTACTTTTTGGACCAAACAAAATATGTTTAGTATATTAAAACTCGTAGCAAAAATATGACTTATTATTTTTTTTTCTTGATGTAGAGTTCAAAAAATGCCAAACACGATATTTGACGAGACCCCTTTGTATTTTCTCTTTTTCGTAATAAAATAAATTTATTTTTTGGCCAAAACAAAATATGCTTAGTATATGAAAGCTTGTAATTCTGAAACTCATGAAGTTATATTTGTTATTACTGTTGAATAATATTGCTTTTTTGTTAAATATATACATTTTTTATTAATAAATATAAATATAATTCATCTAAGAGCAAACATATTATTGTTTTTATTTTGATTTTATCATTTTTATGATTGTGGAATTAAATAGAATTTAGAGATCAATGATTGAGCAAAAATATGACTATATATAATTTATAAATAAGAGGTTGGACGGCTAGGGTTATGGGATTGTTGAAATTTGATTTCTAAACCCGTTAACCTTGTTTATATACTTAAATTTTCAAAATCCTACTTGGAACGGGACCGAATTCGTTTAGATGTTAGGCTCACCTCTCCGTACGATTCGTTTCTAATAAAAGATTGCTCAGAAAATTGTAACAATTACTTATTTGTTACAAGCACTAAATTCTCGTCAATATGAGTGCCACTTGAAATTTTCCGATTTCCTAAATTGGAAACTTCTAATTCATGGTATCTGCTAAATCGGAAAATTTACCCAATGTAGAAAGTTCACTAAATATCCGTATAAATATTTCTCTCTATTTATTCTTATCTGCAATCAACAATTGCGAAACTTGAATCCAATCACATTGACCTCTAATTATGCAAGGACCAACAACTTGATCTTAGCTCGTTGCATACAAGGATCTATAGGACACGAAAAGTGTGACCCTCATTGATTCAGATGTATGCTAGTTGTGGGCTTACATATCTTTGTGATTCTCACAACGCTTTGTTCTTATAAGATTCGTTCCTAGAGTATTGATTAAGATAAAACTCATTTTAACTTAATCACCAATAAATCGGTGAATACGCAACGAATCAAGATTGGCGTCTAGTAACTATGCATCATTATCCCCCGGATACAAATGAAGTGTGTGCAAGAAACGTGTGATATAGTTAATGTATTGTACAATCCTTTCGACGCATATTTTCTGATTGAACTAGAGTTATTGGTCCACCGAGACCTCTAATATAGTTCAATGACCGTGTAATTGTTCTAGGTAATATAATATGTTCGTATGTGACTTAAAGAAATCAATTGATTATAAATCGTTAGAACACACAAGACATTCATGACTAATCAAGCGCTTGAATCCCGTACTACAACACACATCAAAGAGACTCAGGGACAATTCACGATATAGATGGTTATCTAGAGAAGTCACGATGATTTTGTGTCTTAAGAACTAATGGTGTACAACTCACCATAGAAACCTCTACTCGATAACCACTTAAAAATTTCTAGGGTGAGTTAGTTTAAACTCTTCTATATGAGCCCCCACTGAAGTATGTCGATATCACTACACTGATGCCCGATGAGATGCAGTACAATATACTAAGTGCTAGTCTCGAAAGGGACAGACCGATATCCTCCTAAATTGTGTAATCCCATCGACTAGGAACTGGTTTAACAGTTACATTACTTATATTGAATTATCTTACGCTTATACTAAATCAATTAAAAGTAATAGAGTAACTCGCTAGGACTATATCTACGCGCTTGCATGAGATAACATATATAACATGCCAAAAAGGGGAATTAATTTAATACAAAATAGATTGTTTGAGACAAGTACATGAAAGACCACAACCTCATGTGTGATTTCCGGTCACCTACTCTAACACT